CTGCCGCTGCTCCTGCTCCTCCTCCTGCTCATTCCCTTCCTCCACGACCTCCTCGTCGTGCTCGTCGTCATCCTCCCCCTCACCATCATTCTCGGGGAGGCAGGAACGGAGAGAAGGACAAGGGTTATGTCGCTCCCATTGTACTTAAGGACCACATCCCATAAATAATTTCGAGCACCCAGAAAAGTGTCGAAAGAGTGTCGACATACTGTCGAAACAGTGTCGGGCGAGTGTCTCCCAGGGCCCGACACATGAAAACCCTCGGGCTTCGGTATGTGGTTCTGGTGCTCGAAATTCTGGTGATCACGGCTAAAGTAGGTCGGTTGGAACATCATAGGACAAGGGGAGGGGCCGAAGCAGGGAAAGGAGCGAAGGTCGCTGGGACGGTGCAGGCCGTGCAGTCAAAAACTCACGGCACGGCTGCAGGGCAAGGGCGCGTTGGTGGGCTTGGCTCCCGCCGCCACCACCACAAGTAGGAGGGGGAGGAGGTCCTCCTCCTCCTCCTCCTCCTCCTCCTCCTCCTCCTCCTCCTCCTCCTCCTCCTCCCCCTCCTCCTCCACCTCTTCCTCCTCACCCCCCCCCCCCTCCTCCTCCTCCTCCTCCTCCTCCTCCTCCTCCTCCTCCTCCTCCTCCTCCTCCCCCCCCTTCCCCCCCCAACTTGTGGCTGTGGCGGTGCAACGCAAGCCCATCACGCAGGGCCACCGTGCACAGCCACGCGACGGAGCAGCCGCGGCGGCGGAAAGCCCCCGCGCGAGCACCGAGGCGCAGCCGCGGCTCGGGGAAGGAGGGGGGGGGGCCGAACAGAGCAGGCCTTCAGAGGCAGGAGGAGGAGGAGGAGGAGGAGGAGGAGGAGGAGGGAGGAGGAGGAGGACGAGGAGGAGGGGGAGGAGGAGGAGGGAGGAGGAGGAGGAGGGGGAGGAGGAGGAGGAGGAGGAGGAGGAGAGGAGGAGGAGGAGGAGGAGGAGGATGGGGAGGACCATGACAGGGCGTGCCCACGATAACCCGTGGCAAACGTCGGAAGACGTAGGCACTGAGTAGCAAGGCGGAGAACGTAGCTTGTGGGTTCACGCCTTCGTGAAGAAGAACAACACGCAGCAGAAGCATATCGACTCTTGAAGTAGGGAGGCGCTTGAAGTAGACTGGGATCTGGGAATCCAAACATACAAGAGGGGCCCGACCACAAGAAGCCGTCCGCAAGAAACCCAAACCCTGAGACCCCAGGGCGTCCACCGACTTGTGGTGCGGGAGCATCGCGCCCTCCGCAGCGACACCCTCGAAACCCAGGAAACCAAGGGCACCCTGGAGGCAGGCAGGGTGTGTCTTGGCATGGGCCTCCACTGTTAGGGGAACAAAAAATGGCATAAACATAAAAACTCGGAGGTCCGCGCGGATTTCTCGGATCGGCGCTGGACCCTCCTCCCTGGCGCGCGGAGCGCGCCAGGGGCGGCGCCGGAGGCGCCGCCTGGGGGGTCCAGCGCCGATCCGAGAATTCCGCGCGGACCCCCGAGTTTTTTATGTTTGTATGTCATTTGTTGTTCCCCTAGCCAGTGGAGGCCCATGCCAAGACGCACCCTGCCAGTGGAATTTATATGCGTATGTCACTTTTCGTTCCTTGGTGGTCCCCAAACGTGGTGGTGAGAACACCCGGTGGTGAGTTTTGGGCGATTTGGGTAACGGTTTTCGAGCGCTGGCTGGCCCAGGAAACGCAAAACCTCGTGGCGACCACGTGTCCCCAAACCCGGTGGTGACCCAGAAGTATTTTTTGGGGGAATCGGGGTCACCACCGGGTGTCTCACCACCTGGTTTGGAGACCACCAAGTTCCCCTAACTGTACCCGCCCCCTGCCGGGAGAGGGAGGGGGCATCTGGCACCGCCAGGTGCACCCCCTCCGCGCCGCGCTCGCCCGCAACAGAGGGGGGGGGGGGGGAAGGATGAGGAGCTCGGCGGGCGTGGGCCCCGCGGGCCAGAGTTCGGGGGCGGCCAAGAGGGGGGTGTCCAAGAGGGGGGGTGCATTGGTCCCCCGTGCGCCGCTTATTGCGCCGCTGCTTTGCTTCTGGTATTCCTTCTGGTAGGGCCTGAGGGCGCCAACACCGCGCGTGGAAGACCACATGCCCTGAACGCAAGTCCCCCGACATCCCCCTCCACGCCCGCTCTCTTGCGCTACCCAGTGCCAAGGCGCACAATCAGCTCTTCCGAGGCCCATTCTAGCCCGAACGCGCCGTGTCCCGCACCGCTGCGACCAAAAGAAAAAAGTGTGCTCATGCATTGGTCCCCCGTGCGCAGATTGCCAGCACCTTCGATCGCGTGCCGTTTCCGCGGCCTGGGCCACGAAACTCTCGACCTTGCCCCTGAGATCGTGTCTGCGGGTCGCGTCCCGATGGCCCCTGGGGCCCGAACGCAGCCCCCCTGGCGGTGAAGGTGGGAGGAAACGCCGGCACGACAAGGTGACGTGACGAACGTTGCACTTGTTTCTGGCATCGGAAGCTTGGTTTACTTTTGTCGGGAGCGGCCAAGAGGGGGGTATCCAAGAGGGGGGGTGCAAATCATGACCGGCGGCATGTGCGCGGCCCCGCGGGGGGGCCAGGGACGTATTGACATAAGAAGGGGCGCCATGAAATGTGGGGAAATATCATGGCCCCCGCCATGATATCCCCCCCCCCCCTAGACAATTACTCAATATGAAAATGCTCTCCCTCTTCCCCTGACGGCGTCCGGGTGATGGCCGCGCACCCTCCGCGTACTGTTTTTTACACACAGGATGCCCGGAAATCCCGGGAAACGACTCTCGCTGAGGCGCCGGCGTCATTTTTTCCCAAAATGCTGCTCTCGTTGAGGCGCCGGCCTCATTTCTGCTCCCGAATCGTTCCGGATCGTGCTCCCGCTGCAGCGTGGGCCTCATTTTCGGATCGGTGTTTGGCCTCCGTCGTTCAGGATGGCGTTCTCGCCCCAGCGCGGGCCTTTTTCTCGCGCGCCCATCCGCCCGCCACCACCGCGCCGCACCGCCACCACCACCACCACCACCACCACCACCACCACCACCACCACCACCACCACCACCACCACACACCACCACCAGCACCAGCACCAGAACCAACCACCACCAGCACCTCCACCACCAGCACCACCACCACCACCACCACCACCACCATCACCACCACCACCACCACCACCACCACCACCACCACCACCACCACCACCACCACCACCACCACAACCACGCACACACGCACGCACGCACGCACGCGCACCACCACCCACTACGCACGCGCGCGCGGAGCCACAGGTCCGCTACGACACGCGTCCGCGGATAGAGAAAATCAGCGCCATGGTAAGGGATGGAGGGAGGGGTAGGACGTCAGATATGACGCGAGCGCACCTAGCTTGTCATCACCCCCCTCTTTGCCGTCCCCGAATCAGAAGCTTGGCTCACTTTTGACTCACCGTGGCTCTCTGACACCCAGGATAGCTCAACCCTGGCCGAATGCGAGCTGTCCGTGGCCTTCACCCCTGAGCGCCCGCGACGGAGACGCCGCCGCGCCGGCACGACGCGCACCTGCCGTTTTGACTACGACGAGGACGCCGTCCTGGTCGACTGGCTCAGGATAGGATCCCGCGTAGCTGTGGGCCCTCGCCCTCGGAGCACGAGCGGAACCTCTGAAGGGGCCCTGGGACACTGAAATAAAGACACACAAATAAAAATATTCGCCATATTTCCCCATACTTTCGGAGTTTTTGCATTCCCGCCCAATTCCAATCTGTTTCAATATTTTCCTGGGGATCGACGATGAATTGTGTCTGTGTTTTTTCCCCTCCTGAACATCATGAGCACATCTGGGAACCTGTGAACGAATCCCTCTGTCGTGACTTATCGCTCATCATCCGAGTAACCCTTGCTGTTCGAAGCAAGCGAGATCGGGATGCGCTCCCTCATCCAGGCATGATGCTGCCAGTACCAGAATCTCTTCCTGCATCACGAAGAAGGAAAAACAACATAAACATAAGCTGTCGGCGCTCCGCGCGGACTCCTTGGATCCGCGCTTCCCCCCCCCGCAGCGCCTCCAGCGCGCCCCTGGCGCGCTCCGCGCGCCAGGAAGCGTTCGGGCTCCGCAGGCGCCGCATCGGCGCTGCATCGGCGATGCGGCGCGATCCGACCCCCTCTGCTCTCGCCCCGCCATGCGGCCTGGCTCCTCCTCCGCAGCGGCGGCCCTTCCCCCTCGGTGCCCTCCCCCCTCTGCTCTCGCCCCGCCACGGGAGGCCTGGCTCCTCCTCCGCAGCGTCGGCGGCCCTTCCCCCTCGGTGCCCTCCCCCCTCTGCTCTCGCCCCGCCACGGGAGGCCTGGCTCCTCCTCCGCAGCGTCGGCGGCCCTTCCCCCTCGGTGCCCTCCCCCCTCTGCTCGCGCCCCGCCACGGGAGGCCTGGCTCCTCCTCCGCAGCATCGGCGGCCCTTCCCCCTCGGTGCCCTCCCCCCTCTGCTCGCGCCCCGCCTGGGCGGCCTGGCTCCTCCTCCGCAGCATCGGCGGCCCTTCCCCCTCGGTGCCGCCCCCCGACCCTGGCCGCCCGGCACCTCCGGCGCCCGCCGGGGCCCACCCGACCGACAGCTCTCGGGCCGGGCGAAAGGGGGAGATAGCAAAGGGGGGGGCGTTGAGACTCAGCGCATGCAGCTGACTTTTTCCCGGCGCCTCCCAGCGCCGGAGGCGGCCAGATGTGTCGAGGAATATGGGCCCCTCGGTGGGGCCGAAACCAGCTGCATGCAGCAAATTTCGGGGATGGACAGACCCCCCTTTAGTAAAACGTGGTTCGGTGAAAACGACCCGAGGCCCCCCAAACCTGGCGGGCGCAAGCCTGGAAAATAACAGCCACGGCCCCCTCTCGAGAACCGAAAACGGACGATTCACTAAAAGGACGTGTCACTGTTGTGGGTTCTGTCCACCCCCGATAAACCCCCCCTTTCCCAATCCCCCCCTTGTCGTCCGGCCCGAAGCTCACACGGCGTGCCGCCGCCTTCGGCCGCCCTCGGCGCCTCCAGGGCCAACCGGCGCAGCTGCGCGCGGCAGCCGGGCGTGGCGGCGGGGTCCTGCGCGGCGGGGGCGGAGGAGCGGGCAGGGTGGGCGGCGAGAGGGGGGATGGGCGAGGAGGAGGGGGGATGGGCGGCGAGAGGGGGGGGTGGGCGAGAGGGAGGGGGGATGGGCGGCGAGGGGGGGCAGAGCGAGAAGGAGGGGGGATGGGCGGCGCGAGAGGGGATGGGCGGCGAGAGGGGGGATGGGCGAGAAGGAGGGGGGATGGGCGGCGAGGGGGGGGTAGAGCGAGAAGGAGGGGGCCTCCTCGGAAGGTTCGGAGGGCCCCCAGCCTTCTGAGACATTGTCCAAGCCTTCCTCGAAGACCCAAACAACTTCGCAGGAGGTGCGAGGGCTTCCGAGGAGTCCCGCCGCCTTCTGAGGAGGCCTTCTCCTTCTCAGAACCACCCCTTCGCTCTCCGCCGACAGGAGCGGTACCGCGGGTTCGTGTCGTGTGGCCCCCGGCGTTGGTTCCTGACACCGCGGGGACCCTGCAACGTTGAAAGATTTGGCCGTTTCGAAACGTCAGATCGTTCTAGCATCGACCGACCGAATCTGGGTCGCCGGCGGCGTCCAACGATGAACGCCAGCGGCGGGGTCGCCGCTGGTCGACACGACGGGGACCTCCCATAACAGGGACAGGCTATCCGTCGCAGCGGTCCGGAAAACTTTAGAAGCCCTCACACGCAACTCAGCCTCGCTGAGGGGCTTGGGCCATAGCCCCGATTCAAGCCGAGAAAGATACTCGCGCAGATAGAATTCCAACTTCACGCATAAACGTACGAGCGCAGAAACCACACGCTTGACAAAATCATATATTATAGGCCCGTGTGGGACGAGGCGGAGAGGCGGACTTCTGTTGGGGATGAAGCACGAAGCCTGTCAGCGAAAGAGGCACGCAGGTGTGCAGAACCTTTTAGGACACGGTGTGAGATGCTCGGCTGCGGACTCGAAGACAGCCAGAAGGCACACGCTGCATGTGAACATCGTTTGACCGATCCCCCACGGCAGGCTGCGCCGCGTGGGAGGCAGGGAGCAGCCGGAGTCGGGGACGGGGGAGGCATGAAGCAGCATGAGGGCAGTACAGGACAGTTTTTAATACATCGGATTAAAAAAAAACATAGGTTTCCTGACACATGATTCATGCATGAATAAATTTATACATGAACTCGTCGTTGTGTTTCATACTAAGTCCCTGCATGTTTAATACATGATCCCCTCGCGGAGCATGTATTAAAAGCGGCACTGTAGTGCCAGGTCGGGCATGTCCTCCTACAGGCGGACCTCGGAAGAGCAATCAGAGATCGTCACACCATACTCACACATAGTCGGCAGATCATCGGAACATCGTCCCCAGACTGTTGTCTGACTATTCTCGCAGAGTCCTCCTGTAGAGGGACATGCCCGACTTAACAGTAGGAAGCAGAAGCGGGAGGAAGTAGGGGCCCTCCAACTTCTGCCCGAACAAGTGACGGATGGGCGACGATCAAGCACAAGTCGCACTCGAGATGGCCTAGCAGCCTTAGCACGAAGCTTACGCGAGCCGCCAAGCGCGGCACGCTGCGCTGGAAATGAAGGCGCTTACGAGCGACCTTACGCAAGCAGCTTACACGCCAGTGCCGGCGCAATCGACAACGTTTTCGTCCGTCGCCCAGATGGAGTCGGAGGACCGCGCCGAATCGCCGACACATCGCCGATGCATCGGCGACGTCGGCACATAGAAAATCGGCTCCACGTCGAGCCGCACCGGCGATGCACCATCAGCGATTCGGCAAGATCCTCCGACATTACCCCTCCTGGACCCATCTTGGGAGGCCTGGGGAGGAGGAAGATGGAGAATGGATGTTCTTTCTCATATCGACTTCTGGGATGAAGCAAAATGCAAACGAAGAAGGCTTGCTCCTTGACAGAAAGATGCAGTAGACGCTCCACCACAAGAAACCTTCAACAAGACCCCCACCCAACCCTGATACCCCAGGACCCCCCCCCGTCTCAAACCGTTTGGTCACACCGAACCCCGCTGACTCACCACTCGGCATGGTCACCGCACCCTTCGTGGGCGAAGAAGAAGTGCCGAGACATCCTCGGAGAACAGCCCGAGTCCAAAGACCGCGCGATTGCCCCGACTCCCCGCCGACTCACCACGGGGTGTGGTCACCGCGCCGCATTGGGCCCCCCGATTAAAGGCCTCCCAAATAGGGTCCAAGCAGATGAGGTCAGGTGATTACACTGCATCGACAGTGTAATATCACCGGTGCATCGCCAATGCATCGGCGATGCTGGCGATGCATCAGCGACGTCGGCGTGGAGAACATCGGGCTCCATATCGAGCCGCATTGCCGATGCATCGGCGATGCGGCCTGATCCTCCGACCCCATCTATTCCGACGCCATCTTGGGGAAACCAAGCGGTACCGATATCGGTCGGGCGCTAACGTCGGGCCAGGCGAAAGGGGTGGATAGCAAAGGGGGGGGTGAGAATCAGCGCACGTAGCTGATTTTCCCAGCGCCTGCCGGCGCCAGGAGGCGGCCACGTATCGAGGCACGGGCCCCTCGGAGGGGCCGAAACCAGCTGCGTGCAGCAGATGTCGGCCCCCCCCCCCCCCCTGTCCCTATCCCCCCCCTTTCGTTCGGCCAAAGAAGGGGGGTGACCCAGTGGGGGGGGAAGAAAAGGGCCCTGAGAAGGGGCCCTCGAGGGCCCGTGTTTGGAGCCGGCAGATGCCCAAAACGGGGCCCTCGAGGGCCCTCAAGGGCCCCTCCTGGAGCTGGAGCTGTTTTTTTTTCGACGCCCGAAATGGGCACGGAAAAAATGGGTACAATGCCCAACAGCAAATGTTGTCTCAGACCAACAGCGGCCGCTGTGGAACGGGCGGCCATCCGTCTCGAACGGACACAGGCCACGGCGGCGTGGACAGCGGATCCGTTTCAAAATGAACAGGAGCTGCTGTTGGGCATCCTACCCATTCTTTCCGTGGCCATTTCGGGCGTCCTGAGGTTTCGCCCCGCTGGTTTCGCCGCCCGGCGAGACCAGCTCCGTCGGCGAGACCAGCTGCCGTCGGCGAGACCAGCTGCCATCGGCGAGACCAGCTGCCGTCGGCGAAACTGCCCGACCCAGTGCGCCCGCTAGGGTCCGCCCGCCCGACCCGACCCGCCCATTAGGGTTCGCGCGTGCTCGGTCGAGCGCGCCCCACACTTGAATGTCCCGCCCGCCCGACCCGACCCGCCCGTTAGAGTCCGCCCGCCCGACCCGACCCGACCCGCCCAATAGGGTACGCCCGCCCGACCCGACCCGACTGTTAGGTAGGGTTCGCGCGAGCTCTGAGCTCGGTCGAGCGCGCCCCACACCTAAAGTCCCTCCCGCCCGGCCCGCCCGTTAGAATCCGCCCGCCCAACCCGACCCGACCCGCCCGCTAGGGTCCGCCCGCCCGACACGACCCGCCCGTTAGGGCTCGCTTCCGCGAAACCAGCGACTGCGAGAGAAACCAGCCGCCGGCGAAACCAGCGGGGAGAAACCAGCGGGGCGAAACCAGCGGGGCGAAACCAACGCCGGCTAAACCAGCCGTCGGCGAAACCAGCACCGGCGAAACTAGCGCCGGCGAAACCAGCGCCGGCGAAACCAGCTCATGCCGCCCAAAAGGGGCCCTAATGGGCCCTATAAGGCCCGTTCTGCACCCCCCATTAATCACCCCCGATAACGCCCGCCCGACGATACCGCTACTCCCTGGACCTCTCCCGAGGATGCGTTTTGACTAGAATTTCGAGGCGAATCCAGGAGGCGGTGGCGACGAGGGCCTTTTATAGGAGGCCCAGTAAGGGGAAACGAGGCAAGGGTTGCCGTACCCGTACCCGTACCTCCTCCTCCGACCCCATCTGGAACGCCTATAGACCGATCCTCCCCGCCTGGGGGCGGGCACCCAAGTCGGGAGACGTCGAATAGGCGCAAAGCGGCAGGCTAGTGTAAGGCCTCCGTGGAGCAACCGACCTCCACCTCGGAATCCGAAGCCGAGTCGAAATCGGAACCGATGAAATCGAGCCCCGAATCGAGTGGGAGGAGTCGACACGAGCCCTGTCTACTCAGACCCCATCTGGGAGGCCTGGACCGATCCTTCCGGCCAGAGGGTTGTCGATGATCCTCAGAACGCGTGTTCGCGCCGACGTGAGCTGGTCCATCGAAGCCCCACAGTGCGACGCACGTGGTGTAACGATGGCCGACACAGGCCCAACGGGGTTCACACACTGAAAAAAAACAAATGCGCGCGGCGCCAGGGCCAGAGCTAGATTTCGAAACCGAGCTCCCCCCAATCCGTGAAGCTCGTGCAGCTGTTCTAGCGAATCTGCGCGGAGCCAAGGCGAAAACTAGATTTTGAAAACGAGCCTGGGCGGGCGGATTTTTAAATATAAATTTGGCAGGGTGCTAACTTACTCTCTACGCGGTGCTACGATCACGGAAAGGGGGTCTTACGCACTCTTTCGGGCTAGCACACATTGCGCTACAGTGCGGGCGCGGCCGCAAGAAACCTTCGCAAGAAACCCAACCCTGAAAACCCGCGCGCGAAGTGCACCGGAGGGAATCCTGGAGCACGTTGAACGCAGCAGCTCCTTCAGCAGCCGCGGGGGAGGTCGCCGCGCAGCGCGCGGAGCGAAGAAAAACGCAGGACACCCCGACGAAAAGCACACGGTTTCTTTTGATGCGCGCCCCCACTTAGGGAGCCCACAAAGGACGTACGCGCCCAGCTATGTACATGAACACGGCCCCTTGACCCGCGAGACCGGCCGCGTGATACGACCATTCGCGCAGTGCGAAATCTCGAAACCAGCGTGGATTCATGTACGTGTACGTCCTTCTTTCGCTCCTGACCACTGTGACACACGTCCTGAGGGTCATGGAAAGGTGGCACCGCCCGGGCGAGGGTCCGGCACCGGCAGCGGCACGTACAGCCGCGCGAAGCGCCAGGACCGCAGGCGCCGCAGCGCCGGGCGGAGCGCCTGGCGCGCCGCGGGCGCGCGCCTTGCGCGCGCTCTGCGCGCCCCGAGGGCTCCGCAGGCATGCCCTGGGTGGGGTCTGCATCGAGGGGTGGGCGACGAACCTTCCGACGGAGCTTGCCCATCCCCCACCCACCTCCTCCTCCTCCTCCTCCTCCTCCTCCTCCTCCCACTCCTCCTGCTTCTTCGCCTCCTCCTCCTCCTCCTCCTCCTCCTCCTCCTCCTCACTCCTCCTTCCTCCCCTCCTCCTCCTCCTCCTCCTCCTTCTCCTGTTCCCACTCCTCCTCCCCCCCTCCTCCTCCTCCTCCTCCTCCTCTCCTCCTCTTCCTCCTCCTCCTCCTCCTCCTCCTCCTCCTCCTCCCTCCTCCTCCTCCTCCTCCTCCTCCTCCTCCTCCTCCAGCCCTCCTCCTCCTCCTCATCCTCCTCTTCTTCCTCCAACTCCCCCTCTCCACCCGTGCTGATAGCACGGGCCCACAACCCCCCAGCCGATCCAGGGGGGCGACTCTTGCCCCTTCCAGAGCAGGAGGCCTTCCACAGGGGGGTCCGAGCAAGTGGGAGCGGCGCAGGCCGGGCCTGTCCAGCGAACGCCCAGCACCGTCCAGTGAACGCCCGACCTGGGGGTCGGCGTGGCTGGCAGTTGCTCCCTTGGCCAGGGCAATCAAGATCCACGGGCAAGGAGCAGCCAGCACCGGGACAGCTTCCGACCGGAGCACATCGACAGATCTCTGAGATCTGGCGGTTCTGGAGGAAGTATACGGCGCGGCGGCTGTTCCAGAGTTCTCCGCCACGCGTTGAGAGAATCCCACCAGCCCTCTGGGCGTTGATGGTTTAGTCAGGTTTGTCTTCTCTCTGCCCCCCGAAAAACCTCATTCTCCTGCTCGGGGTAGTGGTTTATCCCTCCCCTGGGCCTGGGAAGGGGAGGGGGGCCGCGGGTAGTTAGAGCGCCCAAGATGGCTCCAAAAGGGCCTCAGAGAGCCCAAGCTGGCCTTTTCAAGCTGGCTCAAGATACCTCAAAACGGTTCAAGATAGCCTTCGACACACATCCAAGAAGCCTCAAAACGGCCCCAAGACGGTTTCAAGTGCCCTCTGAGCCCTCCAAGGGCCCCCTTAATAGGCTAAAATCCACGACCCCTCCAAGAGGCCAATGTGTTTTGCCTCCTCGCCTATTCGTTTCGCATGGGCTCTTGAGGCCTCGAGATGGCCCCAACACGGCCCAAGAGAGCCCCACGAGGGGCTCAAAAGGGACCCAAGAGGGCCCCAAGAGCGCCCAAGAGTGCCCCAAGAGCCCCTCGAGACGCAATTTTTGAGCCTCCGAGGGGGGGCCTGAATTGACCCCCGCCCCTCTTTTTGAGCCACGGGGCCCAAGACGGCTCCAAGAGGCCCCCCAGACCCCCGCCAGGGGTCCCCAGAGGGCCACGAGACCCCCAAAATGAGCCCCAAGAGGGCCCCAAGAGTGCCCCAAGATGGCCTGGGCCGTCCTTCAAGAGCCTCTCACAACAACATAACTCCAATGCTCTGCTTCTCATCCTCCCTGTCATCGTCCGTTCCTGCCCTCCTCCTTTCCTGCCTCCTCCCTCTCCCTCCTCCTCCTCCTCCTCCTCCTCCTCCTCCTCCTCCTCCTCCTCCTCCTCCTCCTCCTCCTCCTCCACAATTACATAATGTGAAAATACTCTCCCACTTCCCCTGATGGCGTCCCGAAGATATCCGACCCCCCCCCGCGTATTTTTTTTACACACACGATTCCCAGGAAACGGGTTTTCGCTTGTGTTGTTTTTCAAAATGCTGCTCTCGCCGAGGCGCCGGCCTCATTTTCGGGCCCCGCTCGTTCCGAATCGTGCTCCCGCTGCAGCGCTGGCCTCATTTCCGTGCTTCCGCTCGTTCCGAATCGTGCTCCCGCTGCAGCGCTGGCCTCATTTCCGCGCTTCCGCCCGTTTCGACTCGTGCTCCCGCTGCAGCGCTGGCGTCATTTCCCGTGCCATGCCACAGCACACGCGCACACACGCACACACGCACACAACCACACAACCACACAACCACACCACCACACCACCACCACCACCACCACCACCACCACCACCACCACCAGCACCAGCACCAGCACCAGCACCAGCACCAGCACCAGCACCAGCACCAGCACCAGCACCAGCACCAGCACCAGCACCAGCACCAGCACCAGCACCAGCACCAGCACCAGCACCAGCAGCACCAGCACCAGCACCACCACCAGCACCAGCACCAGCACCAGCACCAGCAGCACCACCACCACCACCACCACCACCACCACAACCACGCACACACGCACGCACGCACGCACGCGCACCACCACCCACTAGTCCGCGGATAGAGAAAATCAGCGCCATGGTAAGGGATGGGAGGGAGGGGTAGGACGTCAGATATGACGCGCGCGCACCTAGCTTGTCCTCCACCTCCTCCTCCTCCTCCTCCTCCGGCCCGCACCACTCAGGGCGCTTGAAGAGGAGGCGCGTGGTATGAGTTGGTTTAGTCTGGAAGCGAAAGCGGGGTAGGTAAGTAAAGCTCTGACTTCTGTATTCGCACGAGCTGGCTTGGAGCTCTCAGGCTAGGTAGGTCTCCAAAACCGAGAGACGACAACATGCTCCCGAGCAAGCTGTGAGAGGCCGGGTGGGCCGGGGAGCACCCTGGCCAGAGGGGGAGCCCGAATCTCGCAGGCCTGAGTGAGGAGAGATCCCTCTCTCCTGCATGCGATGTGACCTGGTCGGGCGGCTCTCGGCCGGCGAGCTCGGAACCGCCGGTGACTACCAAGCAGTCGGTATCCACCGAAGGATCCGAATCAGAAGAAACAAAAGCGCCACAAACACAAACTTCCGGCGTTCCGCGCGGATTTCCTGGATCTGCGCCGGTCCCCCCTCTCTGGCGCGCGGAGCGCGCCAGGGGCGGCACTGGAGGCGCCGCCGGGGGGGCCCAGCGCGGATCCAAGAAACCCGCGCGGAGCGACAGCAGGTCATGTTTATGGCGTTTTTTTTGCCTTTCGAGAGCAAGAAGGTGCCGATGTCGCTACTCGTCGGGCCTGCCCAGGGGTCCGTTCTGACCAGCATAGGAAAGGGTCTGTCCGTCTGCTAAGGGGTCCGTTCTGCCCAGGGGTCCGTCTGCTCAGGTAAGTCGGGCCTGTCCCTGTACAGGAGGAACATTCATAAATAGTCAAACAATGATGTGGGGACTATTATTTAAGTATGTGTTTGACCAGCTTGGAATATGTTTTGAAATCTTGTATTTCTCGTCGAAAATGCCCCTGTAGGGGAGACGCGCCCGACTTAAGACCAGCACTTCCGGGAGAACCTGGCCGTGGCGACGGGGGCTCTCCAGGTCGGCCAGCGGCGTCGGCACGTCGGGAGGCAACTCCTGGGAGGCCTTCGTCGGAGGGGTTAACCAGCATGGAGCCCCATTGGGGGGGGCTGTTGCGCCGGAGTGGGCCGAAGACTAAGCGGGATCGAGCCGGATTGAGCGGGATGAAGCCAGATGAAGCGGGATTGAGCTGGATTGAACAGGACCTCGGACCAGGGCAAAATGTGAATTTGACCTCCCAGGAGCTGAACCAGGACGTCGGACCATCGGCGACGTCGGCGTGAGGCAAATCGGGCCCCACATGGAGCCGCATCGGCGATACATCGGCGATGCGGCACGATCCGCCGACCCCATCTACTCCGATCCCATTAGGCGGTGTAAACTGTTCTCCTACAGGCGGATTTCGGAAGAAATATCAAAGAATTGCCAGCAAAAGTCAAACAATTCCCAAATAGCAACAAATTATGTAAACATCGTCCCCATATTACTTTTCCCCAGTCAGAGCTTGCCTCTGCAGAGGTCCTAGCGGATTCACATGGTTAGTCGAGGTGTGTCACCGATTTCCGCAGCCCGCCCGGAGTGCCCGTGTGCCCGAGTGCCCGGGTGCCCGGGTGCCTTATAGCCCTATAGCCCCACAGACCTGTAGCCCTATAGCCCTATAGCCTGATAGCCCTGTAGCCCTGTAGCCCTATTTCCGTATAGCCTTATACCCTGTAGCCATATGGCCCTATAGCCCTATAGCCACATAGTCCTATAGCCCTATAGCCCAATCGTCATATAGCCCTATAGCCCTAAAGCCCTATATTCGTATAGCCTTTATCGCCTGATAGCCCTATAGCTATATATATATATATATATATCCCTATAGGCCTATAGACCTATAGCCCTATAAACCAATGGCCCTATAGGCCCATAGCCCCATACCCTTTAGCCCCGTGGGGTTATAGCCCTATAGCCCTGTAGACCTATAGCTGTATGGCCCTATAGCCCCATAGCCCTACAGCCCAACAAAATATATGATTGGGGCTTTATTTCCAGTATCCTTGACTATTTTTGAATACTCCTACTGTAAAGGCACATGCCCGACTTAGCCCTAGACGAATGCAGCCTGCCGCGCGCAGAAACCCCTGGGCACCGAGCAGCAGCATCGTCATCGTCAACGTCTCTGGCCGCCCCTCTGGGAGACGGCGTGACCCAGCATGCACAGACTCATGGCATGAGGTCGGGCATGTCCTCCTACAGGCAGTAAAACATACTCGAACAGTATTCAAACATCGCCCCACACGATGAGAATAACATCGTCGGCAGGCGCTCTTTGAAACCATCCTTGAGCATTCCTCCTGTAGAGGAAACAGGCACAACTGAATCAAGGCACCGATCGTCAGCCCTCCTGCTCTCCCGCAGAGCCTCGCCTCCCCGCAACCACCGCCCCAGCGAGCCTCCCTGCCGAGCCGCCAGACGTCCATCAGCGCCGAGGGCGCGTCTGCCGCTGGCGCGTCCTGCGGGGACCGACGACCGCGATGACCGGGCCTGACCCGTGAGGCACCCTTCTGGTTGATCAAAAAACGGGTCCAGCGAAAAGGGGTGGCGCAATAAATTTGGTGCCATGTATTCGTGGGGTTGCAATAGATCTGGGGCGTGCGATACATTCCAGCGCGCATATGTATGGCTTGAGTTCCGCGTGCAACGCATTAGTTTCGATACAATGCAGTTCAATTCCCTGGCGCAATACATTTGCAAACCAATTGCCCCAAATCTATCGCACCGCCCCCTTTCAGCTGGACCTCCTTTTGGGTCACGAGGCACCCTCGAATCCTCATCATTGAAAACCAAGGGGAGCCGGCCCCCGAGACTCGGGCTTCCGGCGCGCCTCCGGGCGCGCTTCCGGGACTTGTCGTGGCTCTCCGCCGAGGTCTGGTGACGACCCTCGCGAAGTCAGCCTTGTTCTGCTGTGGCGAAGGCTTAGGGTCTTTGCGGATTCCACCTGATTTGGGGGCATGGATGGCTCTTTGCGAATGCAGCCTTCAACCATGATCCAGGACGTTTCGGGGGGCCCGTCCTGGAGACGTCTTGGGGGCCTCCTGGACTCCCCCGCAAGGCGCCCGAGAAGCCCCAGAGACGGACGGCCCCGAGAGAGAGAGAGAGAGAGCCCTCCTCTCCTCTCCTCTCCTCCTCCTCCTCCTCCTCCTCGTCCTCCTCCTCCTCCTCCTCCTCCTCGGCCTCAAACACACGTAACGTAACTGCGATTGAGGCGACCCCCAGCTTGCCCCCGTTCCAGCGGTCGGGACCTCCTGCCTGCCATGTTCGGCCGCTGACGTGTGTTGCGAGCCTGTGCGGGGGGCTCGTGGCGATGCGCAGCCTCCTTGGGGCCGCCGTGTACAGCCCGCTCTCCCTCTGCTCCACGGGCAGGGCTTCCGAGATATGTGCTGAACTTGACTGTGGTACTCTCGCGATGCCAGGAACGTGCATACGGGAGAGGGAGGGACGTGAGGACCAAACCGAGAATGTAGGTAACAGGTTCACTGCCATACACTTTGGGTGGAAAAGGGCCCCTTTCAGTAACAACAGCGCGGGGATCTGAATCAGTTTGGGACGCGGAGTTCGGCCTGAACATATGTATATATATATATATACTCAAATATATACAAACATACATATATATTTATACACACATACATGGATATACATCTATATATGTACATTATATATATATGTATATATGTGTATTCGATTGTACCTGGACCTCCTGGAATCGCGGGACGTTTTTGAAAAGTCAAGATCAAAACGGGCCTCCTGGACTTAACGGTGATGTGCGCCTACCCTCCCCCATTACACGGTGACGGACGAACGCTTCAAGCCCAGAACACTGCGGTCATACCTGTGATGAAACATATCCGACAACGGGTGGAACGATGTCGAGCCAGGAGCACCCAAGATCATTGAGCTGGATGTCAGCTCGGGCTTCGGGTCGTGGCGAGATGGCACCCCCAGTGGACCCCGACGAGCACCACATGGGCCCCATTCTCACGGGGAGAAGGGGGCGGGGGAGGGGGGGGAGGAGGGGGAGGAGGAGGAGGAGGAGGAGGAGGAGGAGGCGGAGGAGGAGGAGGAGATGGGAGAGGGAGGAGGAGGAGGAGGAGGAGGAGGAGGAGGAGGAGGGAGGAGGAGGAGGGGGGGGAGGAGATCTCGACACGGTGGCCCCAGGGACTTTCTCGATGGCGTCAGGGCCCACGCGCTCCGGCCCTCGAGGCAACACGCACCCCCGCGCTGGACATCTCCGCGATCCCCCCGTGGGGCCTCGGGCCAGGGAGCCCCACGGCGCAGGGCTGCTCGTGGAGAGCGGGCCGTGCCCCACCGCTCCTCCCGAAGAGCACCCCGAGAGACCGCCTGCCCGCGGCCCCGAGAGCTCCTCCACGAATCCCCCCGTGCGGATCCCCGCTCGACACAGCGTCCCAGAGGGGACGGCCGAAAACTAGCGGATGCTCTCCAAACAGGTTCCGGTAGGGACGAGTTCCGTCGAGGCACACCATATGCTGCAAGGGCACAGTGGTGGGACTTGCCGCAGGCAGCTGGAGCAGTATACACACTATCAGCACGATGATCAGAAGACTGCGCCGTTTCAAGCAAAGTATGGCGCCGACGGGAAACGACGACTGTGATACTAGCGATGATTGGTCGCCGACGCGGCACGCCCATGCCAGCGCGCCAAATGCATCAATTTGACGATCGTGTGGCGGAGGCAACGGAGTCGGGTGGGCAGGCGATGTGTCGGTGGGTGCCGTGCGGCAGTGCAGCGGGGCAGTGCCGCCAACGGGAGAGGGCGCCTTGTCTTTCTGGTAAGAGGTACACGGATCCTGAAGGAAACGGCCCGGGACCCTTGGGCCTTCCCCTAGGACCAATTCTTCTTGCCAGTGCATCACCGATGCATCGGCACCATCGGGGCGGAGACAATCGGGTTCCACATCGAGCCGCATCGCCGATGCATCGACGGTGCGGCGCAATCCTTCGGCCGCATCTACTCGGATCCCAACTGGGAGGCTTAGAGTTTTGTGAAAGGTTCCCGTGGCACGGAGGGCCTACAGGGCCCGCAAGCGGCGAAAGACCTCAACACCCGTTTGTCTCAAGACCCATGTGCTTCATTGGATGGGGCAGAAACGAAAATACCAAGACCGCTACTCCCCGGATCCCTCCCGGGGCGCAATCTGACCAGAACCTCTAGGAGAATCTGGCCGTGGCGACGAGGGCCCTCGGGGACGAACACCGGTACCGGCATCATCCCGAGATCCGACGACAACAGTGAAGATCACGACCAGAGCCTGGACACCGTCTCTCCTCTGCACTCTTCCCCCCGGATGGACCTCCGAGGGCCCCGAGGCCCGAAGCAGGGCGACATCGCCCGGCCTCACGCACTGCATACGGTGCAAGCATGCCGCGGGGACCTCCGAGAAATGGCAGCTGCAGTCTCAGTGGGCCCTGGAAACGACAGGGCCGTTTCTGTTACCGGCTCCGTTTTGCCGTTTTTGTTGCCGGTTCCAACGCCGTTTTTTTACCGGTTCCGTCGCCGTTGTTTGATCGGTTCCGGTTCCGGTTCCAGTCCTGGAGCCGTTTTTTTGGCGTTTCCGGTCGCCGTTTTTCTGCCGTTTCCATTTTCAAGGGACATTTTCTTAAGACAGTGAAAAAACGGCCCTGCCGTTCCCGGGGCCCACAAAGGCTGCAGTCGGACCCAGGCCAGAAGAACAACCCTCAAGTAGGGAAACAAACCCTATACACCGATGTTTATTTCTGGCCCGGCACTGACACTTGCACAGGAAAGCGGATCCTGGTGTATACAATGTGTCGTTCTTTTCCCAGGAAGTGGAACAATACAAACCACACCACCCCGACGTCGTTCCCGACCCTAACAAAAAACCTGGGAATGCACAAGAAAACATGTTACAAGCACGAAGACCACTACCACATGTGGAGGGCACCCTCCCCGAATCGGCCTCGATTTTAAAATTACCTCGGCCCGACCGTACAGTGGGGGCCCGACCACAAGAAACCTTCCACAAGAAACCCAACCCTGAGTCCCCAGGACGTCCATGGATTCTTGATGCGGGAGTGTCGCGCTCTCCACCGCAAAAGCATAGATGCCCAAGACAACCCAGGGCACCCTGGAGCATGGGCCCCCGCTGTAAGCCGCTTCCTTCGGGGGTGGACAGACCCCCCAACAGTGACACGTCGATTAGTGAATTGTCCGTTTTCGGTTCTCGAGAGGGCGCCGTGGCCGTTATTTTCCAGGCCTGCGCCCGCCAGGTTTGGGCCCCAGGTCGTTTTCACTAAACCACGTTTTACTGAAGGGAGGTCTGTCCATCCCCGATTCCTTCGTCCAGCGAGGTGCGCGACAGCCCTCTGCTCTTTCTGCGCGCCTGCGCCGCCGCGACGCTCCCCGCGCCGCTCCCCGCGCCGCTCCCCGCGCCCGCCGGGGCTGCCGGCCCCTGGCAGCCGGGGGGCCCGCCCTGCGCGGGCGACGGCGGGGCCTGCTCGGCCTCCTTGCGGGGGGGGGGGGGGGCGAAAACAGCATGGGCGACACGGCGCCGTGGAACACCTGCTCGGACAAGAACGGGATGCGCCGCTCTGGCCATCGCTCGGACGTCCATTTCCTGTGTTTTTTTGGTTTCGTGCGTGGTTTTTTCGCCACATGATCAAGGATGCTCCTCGATGGTCCTCGCCGAGGAAAAAAACGCACACGTCCGAGCGATGCCGAGCGCTGTAGTCTAAGGGGCGCATTGGGCGAAGAAGAAGAGGAAGGCGAGGACGACGAGGAGTCGATGACGAGGACGACGTGGCGAACGTGAGGATAGCGAGGAGGTTGTGGGGGGGGGCCGAAAACAGCATCAGCGACACGCCGCCGTGGAAAATCCGCCAGCGTGGCAATTACTGTGGAAGAAGCATCGGGCCCAAGGGCGAGAACGAGGGGGAGGGGCACGCTGACCGACTGCGAACGGCAGCGTGTCGTTGCCATTCTCTCTCCCTCCCGATTTTTCTTTGGGGGGGGGGCGAAGCACCCACGGTGTACCTCCTCCTCGGTCGAGCTGAGACATTGAAGCCGGACGACGAAATCACTCTGACGCAAGGCTCTCGTCAGTGTCGGGCTGACGCTCCGTCCCTCTTGTGGGACTCTCTGGGCCAAGCCGACCACTCATCATGTGCATGCAGAGGCATGGCACCATTGCCTCAACGTGCGCTGGATGTGGCAATGAAGAACAACTGGGCAAACAAAAAGTCAATCAACAAGTTGACCAAACCAGTCAATACTTCCTCCGGGCCTGTTCTCCACGACCACTACCAGAAGTCCGAGGGGAAGGAAGGGAAGGAGATGGAGAGGAGGAGGAGGAGGAGGAGGAGGAGGAGGGGAAGGAGGAGGAGGAGGAGGAGATGGAGGAGGAGGAGGAGGAGGAGGAGGAGGAGAGGGGGGAAAAGGAGGAAGAGGAGGAGGAGGAGAGGAGGATTGGAGGAGGAGGATGACCCCCTCCTCCCTCCTACTTATGGTAGTGGATATGGGAAACAAGCCCATCAGATCTTGTACCAGGGCATGCTCTTGCGGCATCGCCGCATCGCCAGGATGCTTGAAACTTGTACATCTTTGGACGGGAAGGTGAGTCGTGCATTTCCTCTGGGCCGCCTCTTCTTTTGCTGGCCCAAAAATTGGGTCCAACCGAAAAGGGATGGTGCAACATATTTGGGACAATTGGATTACAAATGTACTGCGCCGGAGAATTGTACTGTATTGTATTGCAACTAATGCGTTGCACGCGAAAATCCAGCAATACATTTGCGCCCCCGGAGTGTATTGCACACCCCAATCCAATGCATCCCGACAAATCTATTTCACCACATCTATTGCACCACCCCCGTTTCGCTGGACCCCCTTTTCGACCTGGTAGATCCTCGTCCTCCACCTCCTCTGACAAAAACACCACAAGGACTTCTGCATGGGCGAATGTTGATCATAATCCCGAAAAGTTGTCCGGGAATCAAATAGGGGTACACTCCCCCACAAAAACATCGATCTCAGGCAGTCGGCTGATGACAAGGGGGGACGATAGCGTGAGGGTTGGCGATCCCAATCCCCAACTTAGTGGGACTTTCAACGGGTCATGTAGTTGAAGACCGAGCCCGAGGATGTTTTCTTTGCAAGCGCGAAGGGAACGGTGGTAGTGGCACGAGGCAGTCTATCAGTCCGGTCAACTCGAGTGGAGATGTGGCACGCGAGTGAACAGCAAACGGTCGGCGTGGAAAACACACCGACCTCCCTCGTAAGAAATATGCTGGTCTTTGAGGGACAGCGTGAAACCACGCTGTCTCTCGGCGGTATGTGTTTGCAACTTGTAAGTCAACTGTCGCGATTCTGTGTACGCCTCTCTTGTGCAGCTGCTATGTGGCTGGCAGCCTGCTCAGAACTCGTCGCCGTAGCCCTCCTCCTCGCCCTCGCCTTCCGCGGTCTCGATGCCCACCTCCTCGTAGTCCTTCTCCAGCGCCGCCAGGTCCTCGCGAGCCTCGGAGAACTCACCCTCCTCCATGCCCTCGCCCACGTACCAGTGAACGAATGCGCGCTTCGAGTACATGAGGTCGAACTTGTGGTCGATGCGGGAGAAAACTTCTGCGATGGCTGTGGAGTTGCTGATCATGCAACAAGCACGCATCACCTTAGCCAGGTCACCGCCGGGAACCACAGTAGGAGGCTGGTAGTTGATACCGCACTTGAAACCTGTGGGGCACCAATCCACAAACTGAATGGTACGCTTGGTCTTGATAGTAGCGACAGCTGCGTTCACATCCTTGGGCACGACGTCTCCACGGTACATCATACAACATGCCATGTACTTGCCATGACGAGGATCGCACTTCACGTACATGGATGCGGGCTCGAAGACGGACATGGTGATCTCCGCTACTGACAGCTGCTCATGGTACGCTTTCTCCGCAGAGATCACTGGTGCGTAGCTCGAGAGCATGAAGTGGATGCGCGGGTAGGGTACCAAGTTGGTCTGGAACTCGGTGATATCCACATTCAGAGCACCGTCGAAGCGCAACGACGCAGTCAACGAGGAGATGATTTGCGCCAGCAACCTGTTCAGATTGGTGTAAGTAGGACGCTCGATGTCAAGGTTGCGGCGGCATATGTCGTACAACGCCTCGTTGTCGTACATGATGGTCACGTCTGTGTGCTCCAAGAGAGAGTGCACGCAGAGCACCGTGTTGTACGGCTCCACCACTGCGGTGGCGACCTGCGGGCACGCCCACACGGTGAAGGAGACCTTCGTCTTCTTGCCGTAGTCCACGGACAGGCGCTCCAGCATCAGGCAGCCGAGCCCAGAGCCAGTACCTCCGCCGACGGCGTTGTAGATCATGAAGCCCTGGAGGCCGGTGCAGTTGTCGGCCAGCTTCCTGATCCGATCGAGCACGAGGTCGACGATCTCCTTGCCAATTGTGTAGTGCCCTCGCGCGAAATTGTTCGCGGCGTCCTCCTTACCAGATATGAGCTGCTCTGGATGGAACAGTTGGCGGTACGTGCCTGTGCGCACTTCATCGACCACCGTGGGCTCCAGGTCGACGAACACACAGCGGGGCACGTGCTTGCCGGCACCAGTCTCGGAGAAGAATGTGTTGAAGGCATCGTCACCGCCTCCGATTGTCTTGTCAGAGGGCATTTGGCCGTCGGGCTGGATACCATGCTCGAGGCAAAAGAGCTCCCAGCATGCATTCCCAATCTGCACCCCTGCCTGGCCAATGTGGATGCAGATCGCCTCACGCATTGCGTCGAATGGGCCTCTTGGTCGAGGTGGAGCCTGACGAGGACTGAATGCTCGCGCGGCCGCCGCGTGATGTGGCAGCCTAGATGGGAATCGCCTGAGCCAAAGGATCGATGGTGCGTCCGAAGAGACGAGCCCCCCAATGGGTGCTTCCCCGGGTTCCCCTTCCCTTCTAAGCGATTAGCTTCTTCGAGGAACAGGCAGTGCCATGAACATGGGGGTCTGCGCGGATTCTTGGATCGGCGCCGATCCAAGAAATCAGCGCGGACCTCCGACACTTGATGCCTATGTTACAGGTTGCTCCTCGACTCCTGGGATGCGAAGGGAACTCGGGGAGGGGGGGAAGAATCGCCTGTCAGTCGGGAGACTGACGATGAGGAGGACGAGGATGAGGATGAGGATGAGGAGGACTACGCCCGAAGCCTGGGAACGACGTCGACGAGAGAGAGAGATGGCGAAGACACGTCGCGTCTTGGCATGCATGAGACGGGTCCCCAAAATGAAGGAACTGGCCCCGAGGGAGACGGAACCCCAGGACCCAGAGGCGTTTCTCCGAAGACCGGCTCTCCACCCCGAGAAGTCTTCCCACGGCCCCCTGGCGTTTCGACCCTGGCACCAGCGGCTTCCGAGCGAGAAGCCCGGCCCCCCTCGGCCATGCGCGGCTGCCTGGCAGCACCCCGAGGCGAGAAAACCTCTGGGAACCCGACGAAGACGTCCGAGGGTCCCGAGCACCGCGAATGCGACAGGGCCTCTCCCCCCCGAACGTCCCCCGGAAGCCCGAAGACGGCCAGGACGCCTCCAGGTCCTGGAGTCCAGGACCTGTTCATAGGACAACGAAGAAACCATACCGCGGTGCACGGAGCTCTCCTGGGATGCGTTCCGACCAGGCTTTCGAGACGAACCCACCTGTGGCGACCAGGGCCTCCCGGGAGGCCCCACAAAACAACGATGACGAGACAGAGGCAACGGCATCGTCACCTTGCAGTCCCGGGAAGGACGCATTTCCCTCAGCCCCCCCCCTCCACTATTTCGAGAAGGACGCCTATGCACCGCATGGCAGCTTCGTGGAGCGACGTCGCGGGCGCTGGTTTCTGACGCCGCATTGGTCGCTCCACCTTGCACAATCGCGACTACGCGATAGCACATATATCGATCGACGTCCACCGATTCTTGGCCACTGGAAACGCTTAACTTGAACTCCCGCGCTGGTGTCGCAACCGCGTCAGCGCGGCCCTGCGCTAGCACATATCGCTCGACAGCAGCCGACTCTGGGCAACTGGCAACGTTCTTCTACGCTGGCGTCGCCACCGCGTCAGCGCGGCACAAGTTTAGAGTCGGGGCGCTGGCCGAAGGAACCATAAACAAGGAACGAGGGGCAAACTGCAGAACAATCAGGGAACACCGAGCCCCTCCCCGACGAAAAGGGTTCCTTCTCCACCGCCCCGACCCCGACCGTTCTGTACCATCTTTGGACTCCCTTCGGGACCCGCTCCGAGCGGCACGGCGCACGGCGCTGCTCTCCGGGCCCGCAGACCCAACCTGGCCATCGCTCGGACGTCCATTCCCTGTGCTTTTTACGGTTTCGTGCGCGGTTTTTCGCCAAATGATCGAGGATGCTCCTCGATGGTCCTCGCCGAAAGGAAAATGCACACGTCCGAGCGATGCCAAGCAACAACAACTGTACACCGCACCAGCTTCTTGGGTCGAGGATCGGCGACGCCTCGGGAGCCGCAGGCGCGGAACGGTACACACAGGTCGGCCGCGGACTCGCGGCTCCGTAACACCAAGCGCACGCTCCCGCGCCCTCTTCTCAGCCGGGGGGGCGGAAAGGTGAGTGAAGGGGCCCTGAGACATACAAAGAGATACACACACAACAACAGGATTCCCTACATTTTCTCAGATGTTCTGGGCTTTTGTCTTCCCCCCCGCTTCCCACTCCTTCATATGTTTTCCTGGGGATCGACGATGAATTGTGTCTGTGTGTTTTTTCCCCTCCTGAGTGAGGCAGGGGCAGAGGTGGGGTTGGGCGGCGAATCGCCCAAGAACGGCCCCTGGAGGAAGGAGATGTGAACCTCCAGCTGGGCCCGCTCCCCTGAACCCCACCTCCCCTCTACGGGCCCTCGACTCAGGGCCCCCCGCACTACAGCGCGGACGCGGCCGCGAGAAACCCTCGCAAGAAACCCCGCCCTGCAGACCCGTGCGCGGGGTGCGACTGGGGAGAAGCCCAGGGCATCCTGAACGCAGCAGCTTCTCCAATGGCCGCGGGGAAGTCACCGCGCAGCGAAGGGAGCGAGGAAACCCAGGGTACCGTGATGAAAAGCATATGCATGAAGGGACCGCACCGAACCGAGAACCGAGAACCGTGACCGAACCAGACCGAACCGGTCCAAAACCAGGAACGTAGAAAACCGACCCGGACCGAACCGAATTCATTCAGAACCGAACCGGCGAGAACCGAACCGAACCAGAACCGGAACCGAACCGGAACCGGGCGTGCATCGAGAAACCATATGATATGGTTTCTCGATGCACGCCCCCACTGTATGGTGACGGACCGCGCGGTGACCTCGGAACCCTCCACGACCTCGCCGCGCGGTCCTCTCCCCCTCGCACGCCCTGGGGCCCCGGGGGCCCCGACCGCCCCGAGGCGTCCCCGGAGCACGACCCGGGATCGTCCCAGGACCGTGCGGTGACCCCGCGGCCCCACCGACTCACCACACCGGCCCTCCTCGGGCGCCCACGAACGGGGGGCGAGAAGCGCATGCGGGGGGGGGGGGGGGGGGGAAACGTGCACCTATCGTGCCCCTTCTGGGCCTCATGGGGGCTCCTTCAGGGCCCCTCTGGGGCACAAAAGAGGTGCACACGTCCGTCTTCCCCCCCCATGTACAGTCGAGTCTGACTGGAGAGGACACGCGAGAGGACACAAGACCCTCCCGAGGGCCACACCGCCACAGGGATGTAGAAAGCATGGGTCGCACTCCCATCACTCGACGCCCGATCTCCTCCGAATGGTCGGCTTCCGGGCTCTCGGGTCTCTGGCGACCGCTCGGGACGATCTCGGAAACGACCCGGAACGCCCTCGACGAGGCGCAGCTGCTGGGAAGCATCCCAGAGCGAGACAATCTCTTCAGAAGGCTACGAAAACATATGAAAACCTGCGAAAACTCCGGGGGCGCGCAGACATGATTTAGCGATCCGTGGATGCGGCGCGCGTTCGCCAAATCCACGGATAGGGGGAGGTGCCCTCCCCAAAATGCGGCCGCCGGCGCCGCCTCGTTTGGCGGCGGAGAGCCGCGATTCCCCATGGAAAAGGGGACCGTCGCTCATCCACGCCCCCCTGATCCATGTCCGCGATCGCCTGACAAACCGTGCGGCCACGACGAACCCCCACAGACTCACCACGCGGTGTGGTCACCGAGCGTCAATGGTCACCTTCGTGGGTCCCGGAAACGGCAGGGCCGCTTTTTCACCGTTTCCCAGAAAATGTCCCTTGAAAATGGAAACAGCAAAAAACCGGCGACCGGAAACGGTGAAAAAACGGCTCCAGGATTGGAGCCGGAGCCGGGACCGGTCACAAAACGGCAAAGGAAGCGGTAAAAAAACGGCGTCGGAACCGGCAAAAAAACGGCAGAATGGAACCGGTATAAAAAAGGCCCTGTCGTTTCCAGGACCCACTAAGGCGGCGTGGTCACCGAGCGGCATGGTCACCACGCGGGGTGGTCACCACACACTCGGAGGACACCGATCTGCCCCTGGGAGCTCCGCCAGGCGGAGGCAGCGGCCGTCTGCGCCCGTGCGCCAGCCCTCCTCGGGGGGCGCCGGGGCGACATGGCGCGCAGGGAAGCGCAGGGGGGGGGAGGGAGGATCGAGAGGGAGGCGAGGGGGGAGGGGAGGGGGTGGAGGATCGAGAGGGGGATCGAGGGGAGGGGGAGGGGGGAGGATCCAGGGGGAGGGGAGAGGGTGGAGGAGGAGGGTGGTGGAGGAGCAGGGGAGAGGGGGGGGGGGAGGATCGAGAGGGAGGATCGAGATGGGGGGGGCGATGGAGAGGGGGGGGAGGGAGGGATGGGCTCTCTCCTGCTGCTCTTCCCCATTGTCCTCTCCGCCCTCCTTCGCGCCCGCCGTCCCCGCTTCCTCCTCCCTCCTTCTCAACATCCTCCTCTTGTTCATTCCCTCTCCTCTCCTCCTCCTCCTCCTCCTCCTCCTCCTCCTCCTCCTCCTCCTCCTCCTCCTCCTCCTCCTCTACCTCCTCGTCCTCCGCATGATATTCCTCCTCATCACTATCACCATCACCATCAGCATCAACATCATAATCGTCACCACCACCACTATCCCCATCATCATCATCATCATCATCATCATCATCATCATCATCATCATCATCATCATCATCATCATCATCATCATCATCATCATCATCATCATCAGCATCAGCATCAGCATCAGCATCAGCATCAGCATCATCATTATCCTCATCCTCATCATCAACATCAACATCAACATTATCATCACCACCATCATCAACATCACCACCATCGTCATCATCAGCAACAACACCATCATCATTAGCAGCATCAGCATCATCATAATCCTTATTAACACCATCATCACCATAATCATTATGGCCTGCATCATCAACATCATCAGATTTAACAGCATCAGCATCAGTAGCAGCACCATCAGCATCATCTTCATCATAAGCATCATCAGCATCATCTGCATCATCAGCACCTGCATCTTCAACAACATCAGCATCACCATCAGCAGCATCAGCATCATAATCATCAGCATCATCATCGTCATCATCATCATCATCACCACCATCATTTTCACCATCATAATCATCAGCATCAACAACACCGTCATCATCACCAGCAATGTCACCCTCATCTGTACAACCACCACAACCACCATCATAATCACCGTTATCGTCATCATCATCATCATCACCACCATCAGCATCATCATCAATATCAACATCATGAACACCATGATGATCATGAGCATGATCATCTTCACTAAGAAAGCATTCGTCTTCAGCATCTTCAGCATCAGCGCCATCAATACAATCATCACCATCAACACCATCATCACCATCAGCAGCATCATCATCATCAGCAGCATCAGCATCATCATGTTCATCATCAGCATCAGCACTAGCACCAGCATCATCGCCATTAGCACAGAAGTCATGAACACGAGCCATACCATCATCACCCCCACCCTCCTTCCCCAACTCCACATCGTCGAACCTTCTGCGGATTTCGCCTGCAAATTAACAGGACGCAGTTTTGTTACTACATGGCCGAGCAGCGTCGCCAGAGTCTCCATCCCTATCCTCCTCCCTCCACATCCTCCATCTCCTCAAGCTCCTCCTCTTGCTCTTCCTCTTCCTCCAACCTCCTCCCTCCACGTCATCCTTTTCGCTCCGTCCCTCATCGGTTTGATCGTCATCATCCCCTCGCCTCCATGTGGTGTCGCTTCCTTCCCCGCTCCCCCCGCTCCGACTGCGGCGTGGAGTCTGGGGAGAGCGGCTGCCGCAGAGGACGCACAGGGTTCAAGAAAGAGAGCTGCGCAGCATCCTTGACGAACGAACGACACGCACCCATACCCATAGGTGGGACGGCGGGGGCTATGGGTGCGTGTTGTCGGCTGGGGGTCCCCGCTCGAAAGGAAGCGCCCCCCAGGATCCGACAACCCGCACCCATACCCATAGCCAGTCCTCCCCCCAACATTCCCCCTATGGGTATGGGTGTGTGTTGCTCGTTCGTCAATTCTCGATTGACGCATCCACGGTTATCCCGAGGTCAGGGCGCCAGGGCGACTACGGTGGAAACGTCGGGCCTGCCGCGGCCACGACCTGCGGAGCGCCGAGGAACGCGTGGGTCCAGGGGCGCAGCTTGGCGGCACCCAGCTTTCACTTGTAAAAAAAACCCGGTGCGAGCCCCAGGAGGAGCACCTTGATTGAAAAAGTGCAGTGGTTACCGCGCAGGGAGGATCAACAATACATTCTTCGTCAGACACGAGGACTCAACTACAACACCACCATCAACAAAACAACACAAACAATAAAAAAACAACGACGCCAACAACAACAGAAACAACAACAAGAACAAGAACAAGAACAAGAGCAAGAACAAGAACAACAACAACAACAACAACAACAACAACAACAACAACAACAACAACAACAACAACAATTACTAGCACGTGGGGACACACCGTTCTCACCAGTGCCAGGGTTTTCATAGGAGGCGGGCAATACCCCCACTTTGTGGGGGGGCCGGTTCAAGCTCTACCAAATTTCCAAACGACTCTTCGCCACCACCCACACCCAGCTTCCCGCCCTATGACGTTCGGACACTTCACTTCGTGGCATGCGGACGACCGTGGCTACTATTCAGGGCCCCGCGGCCGACGACGACGGCGTGCGCGCGCGAAGAAAAAACGAATGTGTCCCGCATGGTATTATTTGACAGGGATGATGGCCCTGGCAGGTGCGCAACCGTTGTCGCAGAAGTTCGAAAAAGTTGCTCGCAAAAGCCCGTTTGACAGAAATGTTTAAAAAGTGTTGGGTTTCCTACGAATCCGCAAGAGCGCGCGGGATGAGATTTTGACATTTTTTTTTGAAAAACCATTGGTTTTTTGATGTTTTTATGTTAAAATCGCTACGAACACTAAGCTTTTGGAAGGATTTCGTCTTGCGCGCGCGAATGTCCACTTTACCTTATTTTTTGCAAGGGATTCTTGAAGTTTGGTTATGTTAGAACAAGAAATGTCCACTTTAGCTTATTTTTTGCAAGGGAAAACCGATCGTAACAACACAACCGGATCCGGACCAACCCGTTTTGCCTGAGACTTCCTCACGAAAATGATGAAAATGAGGCTGCGGCCTAGGCGCGGCGGGGGGGTCGCGCACCAGGGGCCCCAACAATAATTATTCTTTAGAAGTAATAATCTTCAACAACAACAACAACAACAAGGATTGGACTGGGGGCCCATCAGCCTCCTGTGCTGTGGGGCGCTGTCCACGTGTTGTCTAATGGGGTGAACAACGGAACTTGGCCTCATACCCCCCCGCGCAACGCAACGCAACGCAACGCAACTCTTCAGAAAAAAAGGAAGGCTGCCCTTTGTGTCTGTTCTATGGATTCCTGCTGGAAATCAATTAGAACACTTTCAAAAACCTTCGAGTCCGATGACTCGAACGGGCTTTCTTCAGAGAAAGGAACCAGCTTGACTAGGATTACATTCCAACTGGGTCAAACTCATCCAAGGTTCTATTCGAGAAGGATCCAGCTCTACTAGGATCCTATAAGATCTGGATCCAGCTCGACTGGGATTATTTTACAATTGGATGCGGCCTTTCAAATTTTATATGAGACCAGGATCCAGCGAAACTACGACCCTATGCAAGCTGGATCCAGATCATCTTCATCATAATCGTCGTCGTCATCATCACCACCACCAAAATCATCATCAACATCATATTTGTCATCATCAGAGAGAGCGTGCCCCACCGCAACTTTACTATGAAAAATTGCCACCGTTCTTCCTCCGCAAGTGCCCCCCCCCCCTCCGAAAATCCGCCCCCGCTGCTGGACCCCCCCCCCCTCCCCTCGAAAGCCGGGGGGGGGGGCCCCCCCCCCCCTCGAAAACCGGACGGGGGGGTCACTACCGGTTCGAACCCCTCCCCACACCGCCCGCGCCGCCAGCAAACGACCCCCAGGCCCTACCACCGTCCGCACCACATCCTCCACTGTTGTTCGCAGCACCACTGTCCTCACCACCGCTGTCCCCGCTGGTTCCACCACCTTCCCTACTGTCCCCAAAGGTGCCCCCACCATTGTCGCACTGTCCCCACTGTCCCCACCACTGTTCCCACCACGGTTCCACTCTCCCCAGTTTCTCCACGGCCCCAACGACTGCCCGACTATCCCCACTGTCCCCGCTGTCCCACTGACTCCTCCGCTGTCCCACTGAGCTGTCCTGTCCCACTGTTCCCACCACTGTCCACACTGTCCCCACCACTGTCCCCACTGTACCTCTGTCCCATTGTCCCACCGCCGTCCTCGCCACCGCCTTCACCACTGTCCCCACCACCACAGTACCCTCCACTGTCCCACTGTTTCTTTCCACCACATTCCCACTGTCCCCACACCGCTGTCCCCACCACCACCGTCCCCACCACTGTCCCACTGTCCCCACTGTTCCTACCATTGTCCTCACCACCACTACCGTCCCCACCACTGTCCCACTGTCCCCACCAATGTCCCGCCGTCCCCTCACCACTGTCCCCACCACCGCCGTCCCCACGACTGTCCGCACCCCCCCCGCCGGTTTTCGAGGGGGGGGGGGAGGGGTTCGAACCGGAAATGACCCCCCCCGGTTTTCGGAGGGGGAGGGGGGGGGGAAGGGGGGTTCGAACCGGTAGTGACCCTCCCCCCTTTTCATAATGGACGGGGGGGGGGAGGGGTTCGAACCGGTAGTGACCCCCCCCGGTTTTCCGGAAGGGGGGGGGGGCGGGGAGGGGTTCGAACCGGTAGTGACCCCCCCGTTTTTCCGCCAGCAGCGGTAGACACGCTCTTTCCATCATCATCATCACCCGCGTCATCATCAACCACAAGCATCATCATCATCATCATCATCACCACCACCACCATCCACCACCACACCACCACCACCACCATCATCATCATCATCATCATCATCATCATCATCATCATCATCATCATCATCATCATCATCATCATCAGCATCAGCATCAGCATCAGCATCAGCATCAGCATCAGCATCATCATCATCATCATCATCACCATCATCATCATCGTCATCGTCGCCATCGGCATCGTCATCCTCATCGTCGTCACCATCATCATCAGAATCGTCAGCAGCATCAGCAGCAGCAGCACCATCATCAGCACCATCATCGTCTGTATACCCATCGTCAGGATCGTCATCATCAAGACCAACCCCCCCACACCCCCACAATCATCACCATCACCATCACCACCAACACCATCACCATCACCATCGCCATCACGATCATCACCATCACCATCACCATCACCATCCCCATCATCATCATCACCACCACCGTCATCACAATAATCACAATCGTCCTCGTCATCGATCGTCTTTCACAGAGCCGCGTCCGGGGGGGCTCGAGCGAATGTGGTCAAGGACATATCGGGGATGACGCGCCGCTGGATATCCCCAAAGGGGGGCGGGGTTGGGACCCCCCCCCCCGTTCCCTTTCCACGATCCGTCGTCGGGGACCCCCCCTCTTCCCCTTTCCCGATCCGTCGCCGGGGACCCCCCCCCACTTCCCCCCTTTTCCGATCCGTCGTCGGGGAACCCCAACCCTCCCCCCGTTCAACTACCCACCCCTCACTACTCCCTACTCCCTACGCACTACTCACTGTGTATTACTAAGTACTCACTATCACTACCCACTACTCAATACTCACTAGCCACTGCTCACTAATCACGAACCAGTACTCCCTACCCACTAACCACTATCCACTACTCATTACTCACACTTCACTACTCACTATTTATTACTCACTGCTCATAACTCACTACCCAGTATTCACTATTCGCTACTCACTATCCCCTACTCCCTGCACAGTACCCACTATGCACTATCTATTATTCGTTATTCCCTGCACCCTATTCGATAACCAATACGAACTATTCAATACCCAATACTCATTACTCTCTACGCCCTCATGACTCATTACTCACTAGTCCCTACTCCCTACGCACTGCTCCCAACTCCCTTCTCCCTTCTCACTACTCACTGCCCAATCCCAATAATCACCACTCACTACAGCACTACTCACTGCCCACTACCCACTACTCACTAAGCACTACTCACTACCCAGTAACCACTATCCGCTACTCACTACTGAATAGTCACAGTTCACTGCTCACATCTCACCGCCCACAACTCACTGCTCACTATCCGCTGCTCGCTACCCGCTACTCCCTACTTTCTACACAATACTCACACCTCACTACCCACTGCTCACTACCCGCTATTTCCTAGTCGCTACCCGCTACCCAATACGCAACGTTCAGTACCCACTACGCTCTCCTCCCTACCAACTACTCCCTATTCCCTACTCGCGAATCGCTAATCACAAATCGTTACTCACGACTTACTATTCAGTACGCACTATTTATTTACTACTCACGAATCACTACACACGACTCACTACTCACTACTCGATATTCCCTATGCGCTACACCCACTACCCACTACCCAATGCCCACTTCTCACTTCTCACTTCTCACTACTCACGACTCCCTGGTCACTACTCGCTACTCACTACTCACTAATCACTACTCGCTACTCCCTACTCGCTACTGACTGCTCCCTTTTCAATACTCACTACACACAGTTCCCTAGTCGCGACCCACTATTCACTACACGCTACTCCCAACTCGCTTCTTCCTACTCACTACCCACTCCCCACTATTCACTACTCACTACTCCCTACTCACTGCGCACTACTCACCACTCACTCCTCACTACTCGCTACTATCTACTCGCTACTCACTACTCACTATCCCGAGGCCAGACCCTCCCCTGCGGAAGAGGCCCTCTCTTCGGCCCCCTGTTCGGCGCAAGCGGGGGGAGGGGGAGAGGGGTTCGAACCCATCCCCCCCTTTCCAGCGCCAAGGGGGGAGGGGGGGGGGTCGGACCCCGCCCCCTCCCCCCTTGAGGGAGGGAGGAGGGGGGGTCGAAAATCTCACCCCCCCTTTGAAAGGGGGAGAGGGGGGGGGGGGGGGCGAGCGGGGGTTCTGCGAGCACCCCCCCCTTTTGTGTATTCAGGGTCGTCCATTGGCGCGCTTTCTATATCGGGGGCCCTCTGGGGGGCCTCTTGGGGCCTCGTGCGTGCTGCGTGCACCTGGGGGGTCTCTGGGGGCGTTGTGGGGTCTCTTGTTGGCCTCTTGGGGGCGTCCAGGGCCCGGGCGCTGGTGGCGGTGACGGACTACAGAACTGATTGACCCCCGAACTAAGGTTTCTCGCCGAGTCCAAGGACGTATGCCTAGAGCATTCGCAGATCTGCGGACATGATGCGCATGTGTTGCAGATTCGACGTGGGAGTTAATTTTGGGGCAAAGCAATTCTGCAGTCGCTGCCCTGTTCGAAACACGGAGCCTTCCCGGGGTGCCCTTGTTCCTGGAGCCGCGCGCCCATGGCCCATGGCCCATGGCCCCCTCTGTCTCCAGCCCCCGCCTGGCCCCTCTGCTTCCCCCGAGGGGAGGGCTGAGCCTAAGCGCTGTGCTTCGTTGTGTGGTCGTTATGCTTCCCGTTTTGCTCTTTACGAGCAAGATTTGTGTCCATATCCAGTGCGCCTTTGATTTTTGTTGGAAGGGGCGCCACAAGGCCGAGGTGCTCTGGACATGGATAAAAATCGAGCCTCCAGGGGACACATTCGTCCATATCCAGTGCGCCTCAGGCTTCTGGGGAAGGGAGCCCGAAACTCCATACTGCAGTGGATATGGACAGAAGTACTGCTCGCACCTGTACCTATCTCTGCCAGAGCAGGAAGCAAAACACAGCCGACGTCCATCAAGACAGCGCTCGGGTCAAGCCCTGCTGGAGGGAGGCCGCGCTCGGGCAGTGCACGCGCTCAAGCCCTGGGTCGCGAGGTCGCCTCGGGTCGGCAGCGGGCCGGCTCGCACCCGACTCCGTGCGGCATCGGATCGGCATCGGATCGCCGAGGATCGCGGAGCAGGCACGGCCTCTGCGGTGTGGCATCGGGTGGGATCGAGATCGGAACCGACGCCTCGGGCTCGGAGCCCCTCGGATCGTGAACAGGCCTGTAAAACTGGAGGTCGGGGCTGACGCGGGAACTGTGCCGCACCGTCCACGCGACAATCGAGACGGGCAAGGAGAAAGGAACGCCTGGCTCGAATGTCAAGGAGACGCAATTCACCGACCTTCTCCTCGGATTGATGGCGGACCACTGCGCCAGCATGTTCGCTGGCCCTGTTGGGATGCCATCCCGCAAGTAGTAGAGGTCGAAGTTCGACAGGATCACCAAAGAGCGTTTGGATGAGGAGTGGGTGATGGCGACTGGGTACGGTCAGTCGGAGGTGGAGCATCGCCAGATGCTCCGCACTAGCATCTCGAAACCGTGGCTATCCATCACCCCCCGCTTTAAGCCACGTGTTGGTGTTCTCCCATTCACAAGATGATGATCCCCCACGGGCTTCGGTGTTGGAGACCGAAACGTGCCCTGAGGATACATCCGAAAACTCGTCCCTCCTTCTTCTCCCACTCCTCCTCATACACCTCATGTCTCCTCGTCCCCCCTTCTCCAACCTTCTCCCCCCGGTCCTCCTCTTCCAGGTCCTTCTCCCCCCCCCTGATCCTCCCTCTTCCTCCCCCTTCAACGACATACTCCCCCTCGAGGAGGTATGAGTTCAGAGGTAGGAGGGCGAAGGAGGCAAACACAAAATGAAGAACGAGGCTGTTTGCGTAATAGCCTATCGTCATAATTGTGCATGTCGTTGGCGGCGTTGGAGGAGGGACAGAGGAAGGGGAGGAAAGAGGCAGAAGAGGAACAGGAGGACGTGCAGGAGGGGGTTAAGATGGAGGAAAAGGGGCACCTCCTCCTCCTCCTTCTCCTCCTCCTCCTCCTCCTCCTCCCCCTTTTCTCCTCCTCCTCTCTCTCTCCTCCTCTTCCTCCTCCTCCTCCTCCTCCTCCTTCCTCCTCATCAGACTCCTTGGCTTCCACCTCCTCCTCCTCCACATTCCTTCTTGCTCGTCCCTCCGCTCCCTCCTTTCTCCCCTTCTTTCTCCTCGGGCAGCACCACACTTCCGACTCCGACAACAATTCTGAGGCGACCCTGGCCACGGCGACGAGAGCATGGCAGGAGGCCCCCGAAGCCGAAACCGGTAGCGGTATCTGCACCTGTTCCTCCTATGACCTCCTCCTCCCTCCCTCCCTCCTTCCCTCCCTCCCCCCTTCCTCTTCTCCTCCTCCGCCTCCTCCTCCTTGTCAATCTCCTCCTCCTCCACCTCCTCGCCCCTCCTCCTCGCCCCTCCTCCTCCTCCTCCCCTCCTCCTCCTCCTCCTCCTCCTCTCTCCTCTCCTCCTTCCTCCTCTCCTCCTCCTCCTCCTCCTCCTCCTCCTCCTCCTCCTCCTCCCCTCCCTCCTCCTCCTCTCCCCTCCTCCTCCTCCTCCTCCTCCTCCTCCTCCTCCTCCTCCTCCTCCTCCTCCTCCCCTCCTCCCCCTCCTCCTCCCCCTCCTCCCCCTCCTCCCCCTTTTCCTCCTCTCCCTTCCTGGAGGAGGCCCACTGCGACGGGGGTGCCAACAACAGCCCTCCGCGGCGTGGGGCGTGAACGGCCGGCGGGCCCGCTCCTCCCAGGCGCGCCGCGACGTCCGCATGAGCCTCGGGGGGGCGGGCGCCCAGCCCGCACCGGCCGAGGCGGTCGCGCCCCAACGAGGCCGCTCGGCGGTGGACAAACCTCCCTTTCTTGGCGGCGCGCACAAGGGGGTGGGGGAGGGGGGAGGGCTTCTTAGGAGGAGGCTGCTTCTTAGAAGGCGCCAGCCTCATATCTATAGACAAGGCAAGCACCTTCTAAGAAGCAGGGGTGCTTCTAAGAAGCACTCCCCCCTCCCCCTACCCCCCTCTGCGCGTGGCCGACCAACGAGGCCGCTCGGCGGTGGACAAACCTCCCTTTGACAAACCTCCCTTTCTGGAAAACGGCCCAGGACCGAAACCGACGGACCTGGACCCGCAGAAACGACGGCCGCGACGGCCTCTCGCGAGCCGAGGACGGTCCATTCGCGAATCGACGCGTCAGGGCAGGAGGTCTGTCCACCCCCGAGCCACGACCCGTGAGGGGCAACGACAGGGGGGGGGGGACAGGCATAGGGGGGGATGCATCGATCTGGAATCGACGATGCATCGTCAATGGATCGGCGACAGGCCCCCGATGGTGGATCCGGACCTTCCTGGACGGGTTGGGGCTATCAGACCCCTATCGGCGATCAATGGGCGCTTGGAGGTCGATGCATCCCCCCTGTCTATCCCCCCCCCTATCGTTGCCCCCGAAACGAGGCCATGACCTGGGCGATCGACGCTCTACCCTTCAGTCGGGCATGTCCTCCTGCAGGCGGCTCTTCGAGGATAGATAAGACAAGTAGTTCAACAATGCTCAACACATGGTCAACCAACACATCGTTCCCCAGACTATGGTTCAACTATTTTCGAGCACTCCTCCTGTAGAGGGACATGCCCGACGAGGAGGAGGAGGGGGAGGAGGGGGAGGAGGAGGATGAGGAGGGAGGAGGAGGAAGGAGGAGGAGGAGGAGAGAGGAGGCGGAGGAGGGCGGGAGGAGGAGGAGGAGAGGAGGAGGAGGAGGAGGAGGAGGGGCGAGGAGGAGGAGGCTGTCCCTGCCCCTGGACGCGCCCCGGCCCACAACGGGGGGCCGGAGCGGCGGCAGGGGCCAGGCTCTGGCCTCCGATAGGGCGGCGCGTCTGGCCCCTGCCCCGCTCCCCCTGGCGCTCCGGGTGGGGGGCAGCAGCAGCTCCTCCCTCCTCCTCCTCCCCCCTCCTCCTCCTCCTCCTCCTCCTCCTGCCTCCTCCTCCTCCTCCTCCTCCTCCTCCTCCTCCTACTCCTCCTCCTCCTCCAGACTTCTTTGAGGGGGCTCCTCCTCCTCCTCCTCCTCCCCCTCCTCCTCCTCCTCCTCCTCCTCCTCCAGGACTTCTTTGAGGGGGCCCTGGGACACACAAAGAAATGCACACAGATACAAGGATTCCCCATATCTTCCCATGTTTTCTGGGATTTTGTCTGCACCCCCCACTTCCCATGTCTTCCCACATCTTCTGGGGGATCGACGATTCACTGTGTCTGTGTGTTGTTTCCCCTCCTGAGCTCAGGGGTGGGGGGCAGCAGCAGGGGGGGATGGACCATGGATCGATGGGGGGCCCCAGACGCTTTGGTGGCCACACCGCGTGGCGAGTCGGTGGGGATCCGGGGCCACCGCACGGTCTTGGGGCTCGAGGCCCCTCTCCGAGGACGCCTCGGGCGACGGAGGGCCTCCAGGTCCCAGGGCCGTGCGGTGACGCACCGTGCGGCGAGGCCTCTTGGGGCTCCGAGGCCACCGCACGGTCTGCCATCGCACGGCGGGCGCCGATCGGCGAGGACCGGGGCATGAATGAAGGGGCCCTGGGACACACAAAGAAATAGACACAATTAACCGGACTCCCCATATTTTCCCATATTGAATCGCTTCGCTCATTCCGCCGGCCCGTGATATGGCATCGCTGGTTTTTGTCTGTGTGTTCGTTGCCCATGTTGCGCTCTTGGGGGCGGGTGTCGTTCGGACGCGTTGCGTGGGGAGTTTTGATGGTGAAGCAGTTCCCTGGGGGTCGTCTCTCGATGGGGCGAAATAGAGTCGTCGTCAAGATGCTTCTTTGGGGGGCCTCTTGGGGTCTGTTGAGAGGCCGTTCGGGGGCGCCTGGGAGACATGTTTGAAGCCTTCTGGGGCTTCTTTTGGGCCTCCTGGGAGTCTCCTGGGGCCTCTTGGCGACATCTTGGGGCCTCTTGGAGGCCTCTTGGGGCCTCTTTGGGACCTCCTGGGCGCCTTCTGGGACGGAGGGCTCCATTTTTGAGTTCTCGGTATCCCTCCTGAGTCCCTCTTGGGCCCGTCTTGGGGCCTCTTGGTCCGTCTTGGGCGGCACTTGGGCCGTCTTGAGGGCTCTCTTGGGTCGTTTCGGCGCCGTCTTGGGAGCTTCGTGGGCCGTCTTGGAGCGGTCTTGGGGGCCTCTTGGGCCGTCTTGGAGCGTCCGGAAGCCGAAAAAGCCAGAACACAAAAAACATCGAAAAAACCAATGAAAATCAACGATTTTGGCCTCTTGGGGCTCTCTTCGGAGGCCTCTTGGAAGGCTCTTGGGGCGTCTTGGAGGCCTCTTGGGCTGTCTTGGGGGCCTTTTGGGCCGTCTTGGGGTCATCTTCGGCGTCTTCGAGCGCTCTTTGGGCGTCTCGGGGGCCTCTTGGGCAGTCTTGGGGGCCTCTTGGGGCACTCTGAGCGCGCTCTGGGGAGCCTGAGAGGCCGCACCCAGAAGGAAAACCATCTCTGAGTAGACTTGGTCGGGCGGCGGTCGGGCGGCGACCGGGCGGCGACCGGGCGTTGGTCGGGGTACTTTTCGCCGGCCCGGGGGACCCCCAGGGGCCGCCCCGCGCGCGCGAACTAGAAATACTGTTAATACTGTTAACCAGTTACCGGAGATCTTAGCACGCCCTGGCCCGTTGGGCCGGCGAATTTTCTGAGTTTACGTCTTCCCCCCCACTGCCCCTATTTTCCCATATTTTCTAAGGAATCGACAATGAATTGTGTCTGTGGGTCTTTTCCCCTCCTGAATGAAGAGGGCCAGGGCGGATCGGGGCTCTTCCGGATCCAGCGGTCCTGGATGATGCGTCGGGCGCCGCGACCGCTCCAGAGCGCTCTGGGGCACTCTGGGAGCGCTGCGGAGCGCTCTGTAGCGACGTGTCCCACTCCTGGGCCCGCCCGGTCCTCCTCCGTCCCCAGCAGCTGGCTCCAGGGGCCCTGGGAGGCCCCCCCTCGACGCTGCCCCCAAGGAGGCCTCCGGGAGATTCCGAAGCGGCCTCCGCGGAGGCCAGTGGAGGCCATCGTTGGCGGCGCGCGAGAGGGGGGGGGGATGGGGGAGGGGGGAAGGCTTCTTCGGTGGAGGGCGCTTCTTAGCAAGCGCCGGCCCTACATCTGTGTAGCCGGGGCCCGCGCCTTCCAGGAAGCAGGGGTGCTTCTGAGACGCCTCCCCCCCTCCCCCTACCCTGCTCCGCGCGGCCCCCCCAATGGGGAGGCTGAGGTATCCGAGATGTGCGGGGCGTCATCGTGCCTGGGGCTCCCAGGTCGTGGTCTCGGGCACCCCCCGGGCCCGTGCCCAAGGGGCCGGCCTTCAGATAAGAGGAGGCCCAGACGAGGACGAATCCGTGTGAGGAAAAGGCGAGCCTCTCGGAGGTCCTGCCGCTCTGGAGGATGCATCGGGCGCCGCGGCCTTCTCAAAGTGTCCCAGAACGCTCTGGAACGGATTGATACTCGACCAAGCCCCGTACGATCCTCCTCCTCCTCCTCCTCCTCCTCCTCCTCCTCCTGCTGATCCTCCTCCTCCTCCTCCTCCTCCTCCTCATCTTCCTCCTCCTGCTCCTTTTCCTCCACCTCCTCCTCCTGCTCCTCCTCCTCCTGCTCCTTCTCCTCCTCGTCCTCCTCCTCCTCCCCCTCCTCCTCCTCCTCCTCCTCCTCCTCCTCCTCCTCCTCCTCCTCCTCATCCTCCTTCTCAGCCTCCTCCTCCTTCTGGCTCCGTCCGAGCGGTCCCCAGTCGCTCAATGATGGGCCCAAGACTTACGACTGGCCCCGGGCACGGGCTCCAGGAGCTCCAAGGGCCTACGTACCAGACGAGGCCAGGACGTCGGATTTCTTGGTAACGGGGGCGACGAGGAGGAGGAGGAGGAGGAGGAGGAGGAGGAGGAGAGAGGAGGAGGAGGAGGAGAGGAGGATAGGAGGAGGAGGAGGAGGAGAGAGGAGGAGGAGGAGGAGGAGCAGGAGGAGGAGGAGGAGGAGGGAGGAGGGGAGGGAGGAGGAGGAGGAGAGGAGGAGGAGGAGGAGGAGGAGGAGGAGGAGGAGGGAGGAGGGTGGGGGGGGGGGGGTAGGAGAGGAGGAGAACTGATAATAGGAGGAGGAAGGGGAGGAGTAGGAGGAGGAGGAGGAGGAGGAGCAGGAGGAGGAGGGGGGGGGGGGGAGGAGGAGAGCTAAGAGTAGGAGGCAGAGCAGGAGGAGGAGGAGGAGGAGGAGGGCGGAGCGGCAGGGAGGCAGGAAGGCAGGGAGGGGCAGAGGAGGGGGAGGAGGAGGAGGAACCCATATTTGGGCTCGAGCGCGGGGCCACCGCTGCAGCCCGCCGAAAAAACAGCAGCAGCAGCAGCAGCCAGGCCAGGAGTGCCCCTCGGGCCGCGCTGAACAGATTGCAGAACCAGCCCGGGAACGATCCGATGCGACTGGATGGTTGGGTTGAGCGGCACCAGTCGGGGCAAAGAATGTTCGTACTGCTAGCCCCAAGTGCCGCCACATGGCTGGTCCATCCGACGAGGCGGGTGGAGCCACGATCCAGGGGGGCCCCCCGCTCCTCCCCAGAGCTCCGGGGTAAAGAAGTGCTGAGCAAAAGCATGGGTCAGAGAGTTGCTGTGGAGAATGCTGGCTTGCGCGTGGCATCCACCCTCATGCCAAAGGCCCACGGCAGAGCTGCCAAGGCTGACACGTTCCTCTCGGACGGATGCCCCTGGAGCCGCGATGGTATCGTTGCCTGAACTCTGCGAGGCCGAGCACTGCACAAAGGGTGCGGCCCTCGGCTGGCTGTGCAGGGGAAGCCGGCGACCCTGGCCTGCAGAACATAGCGAAGGCGCGGTCTGCTGCAGCCATCGCACAGGTCGGCGGCCCGTTGGTCCATTAGGCTGAGGGAAGGCGAACATCAGCAACATATCAAGAAGGAGGCCACAATTCTCAGCCCCCCACGATTTTGCAACGCCGCCCTCCCTCGGCAGCAGCTGCCATGGGAGGAGCGGGGTAAGCTTCGGTCGAGTTCGCGGTCGTTGACGGCTGGCTGGGGGGTCTCTCCCCGAGTTTGCTGCGCTCCCCTCGGCGCCTGGAGAAAATCGTTCTCTCCAGCAGCCGCCCACACCCCATCGCAATACAACATACAGCCGTAGCTTGGTTGCCCGAGCTGCAAAACAACAAAGACGAGGGCGAGGAGGGGGAGGGTCTGGGCTGCGAGGCGCGCGGGTGTCTGGCCCCAAGAGCCTCTCGAACCGCCCAGACACCTCCTCGCGGACGACCGTCAGCTCGCCTTGACCCTCCTCCTCCTCCTCCTCCTCCTCCTCCTCCTCCTCCGTCCCCTCCTCCTCCTCCTCCTCCTCCTTGTCCTCCTCCGTCCCCTCCTCCGTCCCCTCCTCCTCCTCGTCCTCCTCCTCCTCCTCAACCTCCTTCTCCTCCCGCCCAAACCCACCGAAGACAACCGAGAACCGATGGAGACGTCCAAGACATTCAACAAAAAAAAGCCGTGTGGTCCGAGAGCCGGCGAAAACCTCGAAATCTTCGTCGATGTACTACTCATATTCTGCATAGTCCTCACTGCCTCTGAAAAGTTCTCCTACTTACCTAAGTAAGGTGCACCTACCAATCCAACCTCCCTGAACATTTCTGAATCTTCCTCCTCCTCCTCCTCCTCCTCCTCCTCCTCCTCCTCCCCTTTCCTCCTCCTCCTCCTCCACTCTCCCATCCCCCTCATCACCCTCCTCCACCTCATCATGTTCCTTCTCCTTTTACTTCTCCGCCTCCTCCTCCTCTTCCTCCTCCTCCTGCTCTTCCTTCTCCTCCTCCTCCTCCTCCTCCTCCTCCTCCTCTGCCTCCTCCAGATACTTCTCCTCCTCCTCCTCCTCCTCCTCCTCCTCACACCTTCAACTCCGACTTCGCCTCGCTGCACCCGAAACCATTCCAAACCTTACCTTCATCCTCAGTGTCATGCCCCCCCAGACATCTCCTGCATCGTGCGTTCCCCCTCCCTGTTCCGCCTCCTCCTGCGAGCCACCCAGGACCCCCCCGAAACCTCATGGAACCTCAACCTCCATCCCCCTGTGAAAGCGGCGAAAACCCTCTGGACACCCTGACACCCCCTGGATCCCCGTCCTGCCTCCCCCCAAAGCCCCGACCACCCTTGACACCCCCTGGGGACGCATCCTCCCTCCCCTGGCACCTCATCCTCCTCGCCCCTGAAACATCCGAACGCTTCTGGAACCCCCGGAAACCCCCTGGACCACCCTCCGGTGGAAGCCCTTCGACACCCACTGGAACCCCATCCTCTCTCCCCTGGCACCTCATTCTCCCTCCCATCTGAAAACCCTCAACACCCCTGGGTGTGCCGAAATGGTCCGAGGCCGCCATGCGAGCTCCGCCACTGGAACCTTAAGTGGAGCTCCCTAATTATAGGGGCCACGAAACGTGTGAGGGGTGTGCCGAAATGGCCCGAGGCCGCCATGCGAGTTCCGCCACCGGGACCTTAGGTGGAGCTCCGTATAGGGGCCACGAAACGTGTGAGGGGTGTGCCGAAATGGCCCGAGGCCGCCATGCGAGTTCCGCCACTGGGACCTTAGGTGGAGCTCCTTATGGGGCCACGATCCTCGTGATGGGGTGTGCCGAAATGGCCCGAGGCCGCCATGCGAGTTGCGCCACTGGGACCTTAGGTGGAGCTCCCTGCGAGGCCGCGAAGCGCTGTACTGGGTGGGCGAAACGCAGGGAGAGGGAGGAGGGGAGGAGGAGGAGGAGGAGGAGGAGGAGGAGGAGGAGGAGGAACGCGGGGCACCGTCTCTTCAAAACGAGGACCCAACACCACAGGATGGTTGGGACAAATGGCAACAGCTTCGCACATGGAGGGCGGATGTGTTTCAAAATGTGGCTTTCGTCAAACCGCCGCGCACATTCGTCTCACACACTTGCAAGAGCTTCACGGATTGAGGGCGGGCGGTTTTCAAACTGTGGCTCTCGCATTAGCGCTTCGCACATTCGTTTCAAAACTTGCAACAACAGGTTCACGGATTCAGGGCGGTCGGTTTCAAACATGTGGCTCTCGCCTTAGCGCCGCCCATATTCTTTTTCAACACTTGCAAGAATGTCACGGACTGAAGGTGGTTCGTTTTAGCGACGCGGACATTCGTTCTAAACATTTGCAATATGCCACGGATGACCATGGTCATCGTACCAGAAGTTGTGTTGGACGGATTCAGGACTGTGGGGGTACAACAGTTTCGTTGATCGGGGTGTTGAAGTCCCAGGAATGATCATCTGGCACGATTCAGAACCTTCAAGACGCAACAATCAGGTTGATCCGTGGCGTTGGAGTCCCGATGATGGTGTTTGGCATACCTCAGGGGGGCCTATGAAGAAAGAGCGTGGATGGAGGGCATATTCCAATACCGTTGAAGAGTCTTGAGTTTACACTGGTCCTCCTCCTCCTCCTCCTCTTCCCCCTCCGCCCCATCATCCCTTACCATCTTTCCCTGTGATAGCCATCGTGGACCCCAAGCAGTGTGTTTCTAGCAACATATGTGTTGCGATCTATGGTATACATCATATGTGATGTTACCTGTAGGTGGTACTGTATTTTGTGAAGTGCAGGTTGTGCAATCTATGTGATGCGATCCATGTTGCGCAACATATGCAGTGAAAACTATGGCGTGACCAATCAGCAAGCGCGCCGCAAGGACGAACAACACGCTGTGCTCTCTAGGTGCTGCAGTGTTTGCGGGGGGGGGGGGGGGCAACGCATGTGGTGCACATGCGGTGCAATATGTGTAGTGCACCCTACGTTGTGCAATAGGGTGTGCAGTCGGCATGGTTGTGCAGCACATGTTGTGCAATCTGTGGGGTGCAGGATTATGATGTACAACATACGTGGTGTACAGTATGTGGTTGTACAGTCTATGGTGTGCGATTAGCTGCGGTGCAGTCTAGGTTAGGCAATCTATGTGGTGCATTCTATCTTGCGAACGATCCAAAAAGGCGCCGCACGCGCGATTGTTTCACGTGCAGTCTGCGTGGTGCAATCCAACGGCGGCGGCAAGCTGCGGCGATGCGGCGACGGCGGCCGCACAGCCGCTAGACCCAAGACACGGCCCAGACGATGGGCGGCGAAGAGGCGGTGACGGAGCGGCGAAGGCGGCCACATAGCCGCCAGACAGAAGCCACGACCCAGCTCCTTTGAACCGAAGCAAGAACCCCTAAGCGGAAGCACTGTTTGTGAAATAACCACCATCAATATCATAATCGTCGACCCCATCAATATCCCCGTATGCGTCCACTCCTCCTCCTCATTATCATTCCCCGTCCCTTTCTCATCCCACCTCCCACCCTCTCCCTCTTCACGTTCTTCATCGTTACCCTCTTTGTGATCGTCACCGTCATCGTCACTACCAGCATGTTAGCTTTGATTCCCAAACACTGATCCCTCGCCTCGTCCCCCTATGATCATCGACATCATCAACAATCGCAATGCGAACAGCACCACTATCATCATCACTACAACCGCCATTTACCAACACATCGTCACCATCAGATCATCACCGCCATCACCAGCACCACCACCATCATCATCAGCAGCATCATCTTCATCATGCACAACAGCATCACCAGCAGAATCATGACCACCAGCATCATGATGAGCATCAACAGCATCATCACCATCATCACCATCACCAGTACCATCACCATCATTATCATCAACATCACCATCGTCAATATCATCATCATCATCATTTACAACATCATCATCATCATCACCATCAACAACATCAACATCAACAACAACAACGACAACAACGACAACATCATAATCCCTCGTCCGCTTCCCCTCCTCCTTCTGTGTTCATCCTCCACTTTATCCTCACTCTTCCTCCCGTCCTCCACCCCTGCCTCCGTCCCTTCTTCTCGCTTTCTCATCCCTCCCTCCCTCCCCAGACATCCAACGTCAAGACTTGTTTTATGTTGTGCACATCCTACTTACGGACCACATCCCAGAAAAAAATCCAGCACCCGGAAAAGTGTCAGAAAAGTATCGAAACAGTGTCGGGCGAGTGTCTCCCAGGGCCCGACACGTGAAAGCCCTCGAGTGTCGGCCTTTTTGGGCGCTCGAAATTCTTCCTGGAGTATCATAAGGCTTGCTAAACTCGAGAATTATTCTTTGGGTGCTCGACATTATTTTGGTGCTCTCTGGCGCTTCTTTGGGCGCTCGAAATTCTTCCTGGCGCTCGACCATACTTTCGCCCTTTCTTCTTAGGGCGCTCGAAATTCTTCCTGGCGCTCGAAATTCCTTTTTTTTTTTGGCGATCGAAATTCTTTTTGGGGCGATCAAGGCTAAGGTAGGCTGGAGCATCATAAGACTTGCTCACTGCGCGGTTCCCCCGAGGCCTGGACCCCTTGCCGAGGGCCGGCTTCCCCTCCCGAGTCCTTGCGTTGACAGGCCACCGTGGCCAGGTGAGGGCCCCCCCGGGAACCCGACCCCGAGGAGAGCAGGGAGGACCAGGGACCATATATAAACCTCAGAAGAGGGAAGAGGGGGCCGGGTTTCTAAAAAGGGGGGCCCGACAGGGCCCATGGGCGGGCGCCGCGCGCGCCCACGCCGGCGGGCGTCAGGCAGCGCGGCACGGCGCTCAGCCAGGCCGACGGCCTCTTCGTGGGCCGGCGGCCGCACGGCGGCGGCTGGGCTCCCTTCGGCGCGGAGCGCTGAGCCCAGCCGCCGTGGGGGCGGCTTCGAGGGGCTGGCTGCCCCCCGCTTTGGCGACCTCCACCCTTCGGCGCCGCGCGCTGTGAAGGCTCGCCGAGCCACTCGTGGGCTCCAGCAGGCCAGCACTGGCGGCTGCTCTTTCCTCCTCGTGCCGACTATGGCCAGCTGGCCTCGGCCCCTCGCATGCCACGCGAGGGCGACGGGGATGCACCCTTCGGCGCCTTGCGCTGTGTATCCCACGCCGAGGGGCAGGCTGCCCCTTCCCTTCTGGTAGACTCTGATGTTCTCGAACCTGTAGTACTGCTTGACTCTGTAGTGCGCGAACGTGTGGCACTCGTCCCAGTCGTGCTGGTCGAGGTGATACTTCTTGCCTCTGCCATGCCCAATCATGCTGGTCTTCATCGTACAGCGTGACACTGTGATGTCAAGCCTGCGGTACTCGACCAAACGTAGTAGATCAGATGTCCTCAATCATGTAGCACCCGACGCTGGCGTACAGGTAGGCGCGGATGTAGGGGGATGGTTGTGGTGTGGAGGTCGTTTGTTTGTTGGCTGAGTGTAGCTTGTCGAGC